AGTTGACTTTCATTTAGTCAAAACCTAAGCACACTAAACAATTTAATCTTTTTTCAGGGGATAAACAATTATTCAAATTTATTGTGTAGGGATCATTATTATGAGGTTTACATTTTAATTGTTGTTCTTGTTCTTCAATGACAGGCAAAAACATTGCTTTTTAATTGTTAAAAATATAAAAATTATATTTAATATGAATTCCATGTGTTTTTAATAAAAAAAAATTCTAATATTTATGTCTACTTTCTCAAAATTTTATTACAAATGTAGCTGTAACTTAATTTGAGGCTCATTTTCAAAAAGTTATATAAAAATATTGAAACTGCTTGGAAAATGGAAAATTTTTAAAATAAATTAAAACACAGGGATTAAAATTATCATTGAAGTTAGAATAGTTATTAGGTATCAATGGATTAAAAGTTTAGAATATCCATTCAAATTCCTAAAATAAATTAGGTATATTTGAGAATATATAGAGATATTTTTAGTTAAAATTTAAACTGTTATCTTGAAATATTATTTCATATTGATTTATTAAATTTTCATATGTTAATATATTAATTCTTAATAATTTCAGCTTAAGGAAGATTTAGATTTTGAAAAATTGACCTATTTGAAGAGAAGGTCTTCTCAAATTAAATTTGATTTCTTACTTTACTTTAAAACTTAATTTTTGTTTTTCAATGTTAGTTGAACTTAAAATAATAAATAGTAAATAGTCAAAATTTTGCTATTGAATAAGAGGAGTTATTTATTGCTATATGTCAGCATCATTAATCAACTTAGCATAATAGTATTTAAGAAACTTTTTCCACATAATTTTTCTTCCTCTTATGCAAATTTCAACCCAAAAATATTAGATATCATATTAGCTATTTCCATATTAAGATAGTATCCATCATTTATGCAATAAAAAATTTCTTTAATTATTTTCCTCATTATTGATCTATTTTCTCCAAAATTAGCTCATCATCAAAATAGTTATCATGACATAATCTTTTTTGTAATTTCTTTTGGTTCAATTTAGAATTCGGTTAAGTTGACTTATTACCTTATAAAAGATTAATATTCTATTTAGTTTTTTTTGTTGATGAGGTTTCATGTAGTTTTAATTAATTTGATGGAGGTTTCACTTGAGTTTCTTAAGGGGAATGTTATTATTATTATTATAATTTTTGGAATGAGCTTTAATCATTAAGTTTTTTATAGAGTCATTAAATGTTTGAGCATATAGGTTGGTATTTCTTCAATTTTTTTAAGGCTAATCTACAACTGTGTTAGAGTAATTCCTAGAAAATATAATTTAAATTTTTAAGATTTTTTCATACCTACTAAAGTTAGCTCAAGAATAATTAGGGTCTTAGCCTACTAATTTTATAGTCTTGTCTTTAATGTTTTTTGCCTATCATTATACCTATCAGTCAACTCATTTATTTATTATAAAATTTCCTCAAAATAAGTGAACTTTTTTGCATTTAATTTCTTCAACAAATTCAGCAGTCTGGATGAACATTTACTGGAGCAACTGATAATTTCGATTTTTAATGATCTTTATTTGATAACGAATAAATTCAATAAATTAAGAATAATAGTTTCTTTACTGAGAGTATCTATTCAAAATATTTTATTAATATCAATGAAAAACCTGCTGATTAAACACCCAAAACAACAATTCTTAGCAATTTGGCATAATCTTTTAAACTAATACAGCTTAGTTGATCAGCTAATGTTACCATGGTTTTTTTTAATTTTCAAATATGCATCTTAATATATTTTTAATAATCTTTTTATTTTATGTACATGGAATTATAAAGTAATTTTTTTAAATTAAATGTGAATTTTGACAAATTTTATTTTCTATTTAAAAAATCCACCCTATTAATATGAATTGGAATTAGTCTTTCATAGAAATTTAATAAATAGTTACTTGTAATCAAATTCCTAATCAATTCATGAGCTTTAAGGTACTTAATTAGAGTATCTTTATTCTAATTCTAAATTGCATGAGAGGATCTTGTTGAAAGATTTAGTCTTTTATATGGTTGGAATAATTGTTTGAAAAGTGCCATATTTCGGTTGAATTTTTTCAAATTATAATATTTTATAAAAGATTAATGAACACCTTAAAAAGTGAGATATTATTTGATATAATTATAATAAGCAATTGTTAGAGGTAAATTTGATATTTATCTCAAAATTAAGGTATAGCTTTATTAACAATTGCAGTAAAGTAAGAATATATATCTCAATAGTTCAGATGAATGTTAAACCAAAATATATTTAATCCATACATAGTTCAAGGGAAATAATGGATTGGAAATGAGGATTCAATCTCTTCTTGAATTTGTCACCCTAATTACTATTATAAGTGATTATATTGATGGTGATGCCATATAGACTGACTTAGTTTTGGTTGTATCTTGATTCTGAATTTCTATACTTTTAAAATATAAATGGTTTGATGCAATTAGAAATTCTTACTCATAAAATACATTAAACTTATCTAAGGCATTACACTATGAAATAATGCAATTCTAATTCTTACGATTATAACAATTGTTTAAATAATGGATATTTAAATATGCATGAATCTTCATTCGAAATCTAATCGTAATCATAGTTAGTTTATTCAAGGTGATCAATTAGTTTGAAATCTTTGGAGAAACTTAGGAATATATGATATATGATATTAAAATTTTTATTATTATTTATAATATATAAAATACATCATTTTATTGCATATTTACATTCAAACTAAATTACTTTGAGATGAAAGTATCAAAAAATATGAAGACCTTCAATAAATATTTTTTCTAAAGTTAATTTATGAATTGATTTCTAAAAATAAAACTTGAAAAGAATGAAGAATTTTTGAATTAAAATCTTGTATTTTTAATTTAAATATGGTTGTCAAGTCACTTGCTCATAAAAGAATAGTTCATAAGAGAACAAAGAGATTTGTTAGATTTGAATCAGAAGACTATCCTCACAAATTAAGACCAAGCTGGAGAAGACCAAGAGGTATAGATAACAGAGTCAGAAGAAGATT